CCTTTCAAGTGTGGGAGAGCCATGCTTCGGCACGAATGTGTCGGCTCGATCGGAGTGATACCACGGCCTCACAGAAAACTGGACTTTTTCTACTCGGCGGATTGTAATTTTTCGATCTTAGGGAATATTATTCCCTAAAAACTAACAGCTTATAGGAGACAATAAAGGCAATGATGTTACATACATATTTCTTATAGTTCAATAGCAATTCAATATAATTTTATGTTTCAGATTACATGATGATAACTCTAGTTACGCAATCAGTGTTCGTGACGGTACTATTGCTGTGTCCGTGGCAGTGGTTGGCAGATTTCATGGAAGTTGAAGCCATGTCGACAGCTGACTCTGAACAGACTATGTTCCGTATTTATCTATTGCTGATACCTGCCCTTCATATTATACTAGCTATAGCTGTTGAGGTGAGTTGTGTTTTTATAAGTAGAAAACATGTATACAATACAAACTTTTATATATGTTTTTGTATTCGAATGTAGTAGTTCGAATGTAATGTAGTATAATAATGTCTAATATTGATGGTAAAAATTACAAAATTTACTCAGAGTATTACCGGCCATTTGATGTCAGAGAAATGAATTCTCATGCAACAATCACATGACAAATTTAGTCGTTTTTAAAAAGCCGATTGTACTTCTTAAATATAGTCATTTTTGGACTGTTCTTATACTATGGGTGTTGCTATGCTATACAAAGTTTGTAATTGATGTTATAATGTGCATATGGTATTTCCAGGCGAGTCTATCGGACTGCGAGAAGTTCTCCCGGCTAGCGCGCGTGATGCGGCGACGCTGCGACAAGACGGCGGAGGGCGAGGCCGCGCGGCCGCTGTGCGTGCCCTCGCATCTACAGCTGTGCTGACCGCGCCGACGGACTGCTTGCTGGCCCTACTGGCCGCGCCGGACGTGCTGGCCTAGCTGACCCCTCACCATACCGAACATAACTAACTTGATTAGCTAACGGTGCCACCATCCAGTGTTCCACTCCCTCATAGGTTAGTCCACAATATTACTTTACTGATTTCCTATCCACATCTTTAATGAAACTATTTTCAAGTTTATCGCAAACATACCGGCCGACACGGCAGTCTATGTTTTTTAATATGCAAGGACAACCATCGTGTGCAATGGACATAGAATGGACGGTGTTGCCATTAATTTTTATCAGTTAATACTATGCAATAACTTGACAAGTTAACATATTATTTTTAAGAAAATTTATCTCAAGTGTCAAGTTACTGCATTTCTGTACGAGTTGAAGCGTATGTGACGTATGAACTCGTAATGCACGCGTCTGGGTGATTCTTCAGAAAATTTGTAACAAAAAGACAAAGTTATTCTTAATACAAAGCTTAGTTGTTTGACCATCAGTACTTAAGGACATATGAGGAGATATTGTTAAACGATTTCTGTCGGATCATCTTCTCTGGGACTATCCCGCCCCATAGTTACCTTTTTAATCTGTAGTAATAGAAGAAACACTGCAACGATCAGTGTAGTTTCCGAATTGTTTGTACTATAATATTTATTTATCAGTCGGCAAATAACCTTACTGGAAGTTAAGTTGGCTGTTACTTAATTTTTAAGTCCCAATCTAGTAAAATTATTCTACTGCTGTTCAGAGGAACGAGCGCAATTTCATTGGCCGCTGTGCCGTTAGGTTTGAACTAAGACAAGCACTCTTATCTGAAGTCTTGGCAAGGCAAGAATAGTGACAATTTCAAAATAAAACCTGTGCTAGTTTTAGTAGAATCCTAACACTGTCAGATTGTCTTGTTTGCTAAGTGCATTTTCACTGCGCAAATAGAGTACAGACGCTAGCAGTTACTAAACAAATACTTGACTAAATGAAGCTGTCCTCTTGCGATTTTTTTTCTGTGCAACTGGCGTCTCTACTACCTCTTTATACACTGTGCCATTGCGGTCTCGTTGTGAACTTAGAGACAAGACTCATGACTTCTGCTGTGATAAAGGAATTCTCGGATACTTCCAGCGCTGAATATCATTCACGTGTCTACGTAACCCTTCTGTACTATTTTGTTTTAAAAGTAGTTAAAACTCTGATTACAGTACTACTTCGTACGTATGGCTATAATTAAAATATCTTAAATTAATCTACTAGATTAATATTTTATTATTTAATTAACTTAACACGTTTTACTTATTTTGTATAGGTTGTGCAAACATTTATATTTTGTACTTATTTTAAATGAAATTCACCATTTTACCATTTTCATTAAACGGGTCTGTCAAGTTATTTTTATCGGTTAGTATAATTGCGATCGCAATTGGAAGTATCAAGATATGGTCATCATCCTTTCTGCAATAAGTAAGCTATTGAAATACTACATATTCAAATCAAAATAGAAATATAGTTGTACTCTCGTGCTCGATTAGATTTATGTGTTGACATGCATGTATAACTTAGTAATAATACATGGAACACGCATACGTTCGCAAGCGTACCGCTTGTACACGCCTTCGCCAACCCATCTGGACTGATCGAGCCTTACACTCGGCACTTTGTTACACTTTGCACTATATCAATTTGAATAAACAAAATCTAGCAGAGATGATACGTCATCTTCGCGATCTTTACGGTCCGCTAAGTACAATATCCCCTAATCTAACACAAAAATACTTAACAACTTACCAATGATTAAAACATTTCTGTACTTAAAAAAATGATATCGAATTTAAGTCTTTACTTCAAGAAAGGGCCAGAGTGAAGTTGATCATTGATCAAAACTTTTATGCTAATTAATCGTTGTGATGTTTAAAATATTAATGGTATTAAATAAGAGTGCCAAATAATACTTGACAGACTCTTTCCGAATACTATTATGTCGTCTGTTATCTATTAAATAGAAACCTGCTACAGTACAAAACTTGTTAGCCGGTAAATTTAAAAGCTGGCAGAAGTTTACAGTTCACATAATTCCATAATCATGTCATATCATACACATTCACTAAGTAATGTCATTCTGCGATATTTCAGTAAAATATTTAAACAGATCTCGGTTCTAAAGGTTCGGTTTACGGTTCTAAATAATTTACTGAGTTATCGTCTGATTGAACATTATTCCTTTAGTGGAAAAGTAGTCACAAAGTGGTTTGATTAATATCTAACATTTTGAAATCAAATGAGTTTGTCTTACTTACCTACTTATTTTATTTTCTAGTACTATTTTACAGAAAAACAAGTTATATAGAAAATCTTGGTCCTTTTAAATGAAATCATAGAATTAGGAGTATAAGTTGAATCCTACTTATTTTATTGTTGTAAATATAGTTAAAATTATGAATTGATCACGTATGTATTGGATATGCGCGATTGGTTTAAGATAAATGATTTGTGATTTTGCATTTCGCCCGTACTTCACAAAGATTGAAGGTTTCGCTCAGTTTTATCTAAGTTACGCTGATTTCAGGCGTTGTTATAGGTCAAGTTTATAATAAAACAATAGTAAGTTTTCTGCTGCATTGTATTGTTATCGTAAAATACATTGAAACGTGCAAAAACAGTGACTAAAGTTATTAACGCCTTAATTTATTTATTGTGCTACTTAAATCATTATACTTATTACTTAAAATGTTATATTAAGTTCTCATTACTTTCTTCATAAATACAATATCAAGAAAATTTTGTAAAAACACTAACACTTGTGCGTATTACATTCTGGGATATAGATTTTTATATCTTATATGTTTTTAGTAATTGATAGTATTTATAACTTGCATTTGATTTGCATATAAACATTTATTCAATCATTTTATGTTCATAATGCTCCTCTCCCATATTCTAGCATTTATTTAATTTTATTTATTGAACTCTATTGCTTCGCAACATAGTCCGAAATCAGTTATACAATGAAACAATGAAGTTAAATAGTTTTTACAGTTTATAGTTCAAGGCTTCGAGAATCATTAAAAAAACTACATATATATTTAAGTTATGTAAATTATACTTTGAACAATAGTATTCTCGATAAGCGTAAGATAAAATCCAGTGAGTAAGCAGCTTTCTCTTCATTGTATTGTAAAAACCAAAGGAACATTTAAGTGTTATTCGAAAACTCATCTTAATTGTACGTAATTAGGTCTATAATTAAGTTGTAACATCTAAGCGATACAGCCAGTTACTCGCTGTACGCTGGACTAGAAGTATTACATCAACATTAAATACTAGGTCGTAGAAATAGAACACTTTTTAATCGGGTTTAAGAGGTATTATAATGCCAAAGCTGCCAAGATTTCTTAAAACATTATTTGAAATGGCACTGTAGTTAAAATCAACCCATTTGATGGATAATGTTTGCAATTTTTATGTGTTTTTAAGTACTTATATGTATATGTATCTGTAAGTATTTGTATCTATATTACGAAGTGTTGCGATAAAAATACAATCAGCAATATCAATATCAGGTATTTGAAAACGAAGCTAGAGTATTATGACTCATTAATTCGGTGTCGACCGCTAATGAGTGAAGTGCGTGAGTAATAGATTGCCAAGTCAATTTATTAATGCAATATTAGTAATATTTATTGTGTTTCATTAGTCAGAAATTTCATTCCTAATTGTTTAGTACTTAGACGTTTGGTGCTGCGTATGATTTAGTACCTTTGGTTCGTAGATAAAAAATTGTAAAATACTTAATATTATATAGAAATATATTCACAAAACACGAAATATTTCGGAACTTATATTTTTTTGTAAACTTGTTATTTATTGAACTGCATTATTGTGGTTGTTTTTTAGGCTTTACTGCATGTATGTTTATATTTCTCGTATTTTGGAACTTGTTGACTGTTTTTGTGTCCAATTGTCACAATAATGTAGTTCGATACAGATTTTACTAATTGCGACATTAGATGGAATATGGATGTATGACCAAAAATATTGGAATAAATATTAAAGAAGTATATTTTTGTTTCATTCCTTTTAACACCTATTAATAATTTATAATATTATTATTTATATCGTTTTTACGGTAAGTAGGTGGGATATGAAGGAGGAGGTGAATACTCCGGTGGCTGTGTGTTCTTCGCTCGGACAACTAGCGGACGAGCGCTGCGCGGTACTGGTGGCTGCTTCCACCTATAAACAAATATGAAAAGACGTCGACATAATCAAACAGGCTGACTAGACAGATAGTTCGAAGTGTTCGTTGGTTAAAAAAATAATATGATTAGAAAATTCTAGGAACCTACAATTTGTATATTAATAGTAGCATCAATACAGTCAAAAAATATTTAGTTCAAAAGTTTACCAGGGCACAAGACTCAAGTCGTGTGGAGGCTTAGGCCGAGCCAGTCGCTCCGCCCTCTCCTCTCGTAGAACGTCCGCATCTCTTGCAGCTGCACACCACGCTCGCAACGTGAAGTAGTACAATAGCTCCACACCGGACAACAGGGAGAATCCCAGGAACAATCCCGCTATACCACCAAATGAGACTGCAATAGTAGTAAGTGACATCGTTTATGAAGATAACTGACCACAAGGACGTAGTAGACTTTATTTTAAGTCTTTTTAGGATGTAGTATGTCCCTAAAATATCTACATCAATCTGGAGTATTCATTGGTTTGTAAAGGAAATTACTGGATGTAGCACAAAGATAGTTTATGATAATAAACATAGCTATGGCTCTTACTAGATATCACAGTCAGGATGGGGTTTAATAACTTAGCAAGATATACCGTCCAAATAGGGTACCTACCTTTAAGAAAACGGGTTAAGAAGGAATAAATGTTCCAATTATCCTTAAAAGGAATCAATGCTTTGTCCAAGTAACAAGTTGTCTAAAAATAGGTCAGTAGGGAAAGAATAACAGGATATTCTCTTTAGTGGTAATCCTGTTTCTCAGTTTTCATATTGACTCACCAAGCAAGTCGACCCAGCCGAACAAAACCTCACGTTTGTAACGTACCATAGGCCATGACACAAACTCTGTTTCCAATAAAGTGTTTTCACTTATCCGTGTTGCACTGAAATTATAAGATAAGTAACTTCATGTGACCGAAAAAAATGTTCAGTAAAGAGTGCATATATACAAGAGATCAATTTTGATAGTGATTTCTTTTAATGATAGTGTCAGATTCTTATTGACTAAAAAACCACCCCGTCCCTTCTCCTGTTCTGGGCCTTGGCCGCACTGGACCCGCAACCCCAGCTGAACTTTAGCTCTAATGAAGTCTATTAGAAAATGTATCTAAAAGTGATAGAACCGCTTTATTCGACAAGTGGCCATTTACAATGTTCTAACCAGTAGTTCGTTTTAATTACTGGTATTTATGATATACCTAAATTTAAGCTCCTAATAAGAAAACTTTGAAACCACTGATTTACAAAATATAGCAAATAGCTGTCGCGTAGAATTGGGTTGTTTCACTTTCAGAAAGTACCTACCTATATACTTATTAATTTAAAAAAAATAATAGCTTTTTTGCTGTGAAAAAAAGTACAGTAAATAATGAAGTACCTATTATTCGTTCTATTTTACGTACGAATGTTACCAACGTGCTTAGGTGCGTTGTAATAACGTATCCTTTTTGCGACAAGTACCTAGGTACTGACTAACGTCATCCTTAAACAAGCGCTCATTTTTAATTAGGTACACTAAACTTACTCGACATCAGAGAGTTTTTCCACTTCGTATACAGTGTGCGAGCACCCTAATTCACAGCTGCAACTCGTAACATCTGTTATCACAGACGCATGTTTTGCTATGCATCCCAACTCCCTTATAGTACATTGTTTGTAGCCCTCTGTAATAAAATTATAGAATTGAATTACAGCTTTCAATTCTCGGGTTAATTCTATGTAGCAAAAAACATGCGTCATAGTTTGCTTCAAGGGTCGACCAGTGCTTTCTGATTTTTGAACCTACACATCAGGTCAAATTGGATTTATGCATGACCGATGCAAATGTGTTTCCTTCATCTCGTTGGGAAAAAAGTAGTATTAACTGCTTATAAAATAACAAATCAAATATTTTTTAACTTACTCAAAGGTGGATAAAAATGGGGAACACATTTGCAGAAAGCCCGACTCCGTTGCATGCGACACTGTCTCATACAAGCTGAATAAGTGTAGATGTTGGAAGTCTCTAGATGTTGTTCGTCGGCGAACACGCAGCGTCGTTGACGAATGGATAGCTGACGGGCATCTTCAGTAGTGTACGTGTGCTTTACGGAGAATGATACTTTCTCCACTCGACGGTCCCAAGAGTGCTGAGCGCTTTGTTCCAAACCAGCCATTTCTTCTGTTGAATGTATGTAAATCTGAAATAAACATATTAGTCTTAAGTACCTATATATATTAAGTAGTCAACAATTTGTACCTAAATTTAAGTAAATAACAATAAAACGCACATCAAACGTTGTATTCTTCCGATCAGAATTAAACATGAAGGACCATTTCGCGTCGGTCTCATGGATGAACGCTTCATTGAACTGTTCTGATTGGGTCTGTGATTGCCTGGAACGTAAAAGGTCAAATAACGGTCACTTAATATTAACATAGGTAGGTATTTTACTTCAATTGTGTTGAATAAACCTTCATACCATGGCCATACTTTTTCCGCATGTTTTGAGTTGAATGCGTAACAGAAACCCATTTCAGTAAATACAGGCATTAACACGTCGCAACATTCCTCGGAATCGCCCTTCCATTCACAGTCGTAGAACAATGATTCACAATGTCGCACTATCTGCAATCAAAAAACTGAGACTAGCAACACCTTTGAGCAACACAGACCTATTAGGTTCCTTTACACTTAGGTACAGCTCAAAACTGCAAGACAGAATCGTACTTAACTACTTAGATACCCTTTCTTGTGACACCTTTGGTGCTGCGGGTGTCCATGGGTGGCGGTGATCACTTACTGTCAGGTGATTTGCTCGTTCGCCTACTATTCCATTTAAAGAAAAGTAAAATTCCAATAAAAATGTCCCAATTTTTCGCTTACTTGGAATACAGCATCTTTTGGATTTTTAGCTACTGCAGGTCCATCTTCATCATCCTGTCCTACGAGAGCTGTGTCAGAAATAAAATCCGCAGCACGTTCTTCTATGGATCGGTAGGTGAGGGTCGCCAACCATCGCATCATCTCACCCGCCTTCTCTGGAGCCTCTGAACCCCAGGTGCTAAAAAATTTGCAACAAAGTTAAATATCTATTAGTTTCAGTTAAGAATAGCTAAGGACCGTTTGATTTCAACAACCTTTCCGATTTCGTACCTTTCAATATAAGTTTGCAATAAGTCGTCGTCAACTGGATCCACGTCACATATCGTCACCGCGGGAAATGGAACATCCCAATTATGGAAGTCTGTATCCAAGCCTAGGAAAATAAAACTATTTGTGGTAGTAGGTCTTGCCGTGGATAAAATAATAGCCTCTCTTAGTTGTATCCGTACTCACCCGTGATAGTCGGGTTAGTTTGAAACTTTTCCCATAAACTGACTATAATAATACAGGTGGTTACTGCTCCTACTGCTGTGAAACTGAACCACATAAACCTGAAACAACCGTTTTTTACAACGACAATATCGCCACATGCGTGATTCCAAATGTATAAAAAATACTGGCCATACGAAATCTTTAAGACATGGCTACCTAGTAGATGTCTAATCTGTGAATGATGGATACTTTTAAGGTTTCACAAATAAAGTCGGTTAAAATATCGTCCATACTAACTTTTCACAAAAAGGCCTGTCCTTCTCAGCAATGTATCGTACACCGTGCAATGTTGAATTGTTAAAAAACTCTGTAGTCTGATGACGTAGGCTAGCAGCCAGCAGCGAAAGACCACTAACATTTGAATCCGGCCGGTTCTTCTTAGAACCATCATGTTTAAAGTTGGACTCAGGATACACTCTCATGTCACAATGTATCACATTTTCACTACGTTTTACTTTGTATATACACAAGATCGGCAATAAGCTGACTGAATCACGCTACAGTGATAACATCAAAACTATCGATCAAGCATTGCGTGATGTTTTGGTGGACCTACTGCCCACTTTTGTAATGCCACTAATTACTATAATGTATATACCTACATAAACAACATTGATTTTAAAAGGGCATTTTATTACCTACAACTTCATATTTGATGTGACTTCGCTCGCAGATAAAATAGAATAAGGTTAAGTCCCTAAATGCCTTAGGTACCTACGTCCTAAAACTGAGAACATCATTAGTACATACGATTTTTCTTAAAATCTTTAGCAGTATTAATTAAACAATTAAAGTGTGGGAGAGCCAAGCTTCAGCGCGGAGTGGTACCACGGCCTCACAGAAAACCGGCGTGAAACAACCACAGCGTTGTTTCGCCGTGTGAGTGAGGTTAACGGAGGCCCAATCCTTCCCCCCATCCCTTCCCAATCCTTAAATATCCGAAACCCTTATCTCTAAAAGGCCGGTAACGCACTACCTGAGCCCATGAATGAGGCTGAACTCTCTATAGTATAGTATTCTCTCAATTTTCAGGTGACAACTGCGCTCCCCAAGTCATCAGGCTAGGGGGGATCTATTTTCATTACGGCGGTACCTACTTTTTGCAGATGATGATTAATTATTCCATTCATAATACTTCTGATCGATTTGTATTCTGAATATTTCCTTAGCTGTCTGACTCAACAGCAATAACAATGAAATTTTCAACAACAAAACTTGTCTTTTGTCTAAGTTCTGGGTAGAAAAATCGTCTGCAATAAGCCTAATGAAATATTACTTGGCGCGTAGGTGTATTAATTTGTTATACAATAGTTAGGTACGTTTTTTCGACAAAAGCTTTTAATTATTCATGGTAGTAATAAACTATCAGGCATAATATCAGTCAATAACAGATAAATACTTGTTTTTAATATTTACGTCGGTACGTGACTGACTCAATGGTGCGAGTACCTGTCCACATATTTATGTAGGTACATAGGAACATAGACGTAGATATGTATGTAGGTTCTTGGGTAGATACAACTTATAAGCTTCGCGAGTTCGATACCTTGGACGTGGAAATGTTCTTGTGAAGTTTCGACTTCAAAATTAGAACTTATCATAACACATCGGTGGTAGTTCTTGCAGGAACAAGACAGGACCTACATACTTATTGAATTCCTACCTATGAAGTGTAGAAATCAGATAATGTGGAAGAGCCAAGTTCAGCACAAGTGGGTCGGCTCGACTGGAGTGATGCCACTACCTTACAGAAAAGCGGCGTGAAAAAATCAGAGCGTTGTAGTTCGCCGTGCGAGTGAGGTTACCAGAGTCCCAAACATCCCAATCCGTAAATCTCTGAAACTCTAATTCCCAAAAGGCGTGTTGCCGATGTCCATAGGCTGCGTTGATTCGTACCATCAGGTAATCAGTGTGCTCGTTTGCCGACCTACCACATAAAAAAGGTGGAAAACTAAACGAAATTGAAATTATGAAAATATATTTAATGAAATCATATATCTGAATACAAAACAATAACATGCCAGATAACAGGGTTCTATAACATAAAATAATTAAAAGTAGATAGGTACCTACATAATGTTAACATCATATTATTTAACAAAATTTAATACTAGTACGTAATGTACAGTCAGCATCAAAAGTCGATTAAACACTATAGCAAATAAATCACTCAACAAGAGTAGCCAGTATTGAATGAACATAATTAAAGTTCAAAATTAACTGAACTCTACTCGTTAAATGTCACTGAAAACTATTTTATATTCCTTTTAAAATCTAAATCTGGTCATCAACTATTGGTGCTGGCCGTACCTAGGACAAATAACTAATTGAAGAGACATAACTAATAATTTAAAAAGCACTCATGGGTTTGCATTTGTGGGTAGGTTCTGGGTCATGTATCTCGCATTCTGGAGGGACTAGAGGGTCAATTTGTATGTCTAGATCCTTCAAAGCGTTGTCCAATATTTTAATTTTTCCGAGTAAACTCTCCGCTTGTAAATTATATCCTGGTTCAAGCATTTTACCGGTTGGGTTCAGCTTGAATAGGTGTTCCGCCTGATGAATACCAAACATATTATACTTATCATTCAGGACATATTTTGGATCCTATTGAAAATACGAAACCTTAAACAATCTTGGACACTAATTGGATGCTGATTTAGGTGTATCAGATAATTGAATCCGGCCTCCGGATCCAAGTGGAACGGTACACTGAGATACCTACCAGTAGATATTTTCTATGGTTGGTATAATTTAGTGACATTATTTTTACATATGGGGGAGGGTTTTAAAAATTTCTATTTTGAAAACGAAGTGTCGGTGTAAATATAAACAAACCTAATTAGAGCTTTATTTATTTATTATTAACGAATTGGAGAAATTTATTAACGAATTGTGAGAGAGCCAAGTTTTGACATGAATGGGTCGGCCATCATACAGAAAAATACCGGTGTTATGTTTAGGTAATGTTTCGCTGTATGTATAAGTGATGTTACCGGAGACCCAGTCTTCCTTCCCCTCCCCCAATCACAAAAATTTTGAAATCCTAATCGCCAAAAGTCAACTCCTCTAGTGATACGTTTGCTCGTTTGCCGACCTACCAATCCCATAAAACACGAGTAATAAATACTGATAAGGTAGGTACATACGTAAATCAAATGTGTTTAACATTGAACCACAATAACATGTAGTAAAAAACAAACCAATACAACAATTTTGACAACTACAGCTGAATTATAAATAAATAAAAATAATAATTTATTATTAATAACAAAACGTATAAATTAAATCAATACAAAAAAGGCTAATCATTCAGAATAAGTATTATTATTTGTAGCCTAATGTGTCAATTTCTGCATCGAGTTTAAGAGGTATAGTGGCCTCCTTGGGCATTTCGTCTGTACATTCATGTTCCAATTTCATTCTTTCATCGTGTAATTCGCATTTTTCTTCCAACGCCATACCAAGTGGGTTTAACTTGAAAGTCTTTTCCGCCTGACGATATCCAAATTATTTTGTTATGATTGTAAAAAAAAACTTGCAAATAAAAACTATTCACTTTCCTAACGCTTTTCAAATTTGGAATCAAAACAAATGTTTCAAATGTTGTCTGCCCATCATCAAAATAATTGAAGATTATACTTATAATAGTCAATTTACTCACTAGGAAATCAATAGGATCATCAGGTCGTAATTTGGCGACTTCAAGCAAAGCAGGAGTGAGGGTTGGGAAGATATGTTGAACCAAGTAATTGCGCATAGGTTCGCCAGCGGCCGCTAATGCTGCTTCTTCTTCCTCGCGCATCATTGCGTATAACTCCGTCTATGGGCATGGACAATAGAGCATTAATTATTAAATATATTAACAACAAATAAATGTCAAAATTGAGACCACGAAGTTATTCAAGTATTTTAGCTCCATCACCCAATATTCCATTTTATCTTCGCGTTCACTTCTTAGTTTATCTTCCATTTCCTTCAAAGCTTTTGCTTCTTTGGTTTTCAATGTTTCTTGTTCATATTTTTCTTTCTTCTCAGCAGCTTCAATAAGTGCTGGAAAAATAAATTGACAAATCTTCAATTTAACATCATTATCATCACCAGCCTATAAGTGCCCATTGCTTTCTCAAAGCAGATTTAAAACTCGTAATTAGAAATTATAAGTTGCAGTCTCTTGTTTTCGCCACCACTGCCATTGGTGTCTAAATAATCCTAGAAAGTCCTCATAACTCGGTAAAATACACATGGGTACCTATATAATATACACATATACAACTCTAAATTATGACTAGAAACAAAAAATTTTAAGTAATAATTTAATATACATTTAACCGACCGAGAAGTTTCCCATAGCGGCAAGGACGGCCCATCCGCAGGGCTACAGCTGTGTATGGACCCTGCATACCATAATCTGTATGGTCTTTCACAGGCACTACGAGTGGGTGTATGTCTAGTTCGTCAAAAAAGTTAAGCGGTGTATTTTCTCTAGTGTCACCAGCCCGGAATTCACTTAATCTTTTCAGTATAGTCTCTTCATCCAAACGAGAGTGACCCTCCGGTAATCTCATAGCTTTCTCACAAATAAACTCATCGTTAGCGTCCAGCGATACTACAATATCTGTAATAACATCAACACATGGAGTCAGTTGGTATTCCTCATTTGTGGAATAGTGAACAGATCATTACCAACCTACTTTAAATATTAAAGAAAGTTATCTTAACTTAGGTACCTGGTAAAAGCTTCTTTAAAACATTGTTATACAAATCAACATCTTCGTCAAAGGGTTCGTCACGAGTTTCTTCACCAGCTTCAGAATCCTGTTCATCTCCTTTTTCAAATACTAGTACAAGTGTATTTATAAACTGTGGTTAGATATGCGTGAAGTATTAATATGTAGTTGGATTATAATCATGGCTATCAAACTCATCCTTAAGAACTATAATAACGGTAGGAGTAACTACTAACTTATTTGACATTGCGCTTGGGTCATAGGAAACCCGTCCAGTACCCATCCTCTGTTCATAGCCTCGCGACTTAACAATTTTTGACGAAGGTACCTAATGAAAACGAAATAAAATAATATTTTATGCAGTCTTGACAGCAAATGTAAAAAATATATATAATTATGCATGTTCCATAACTATTTTGTCTCCAGAGAACACAGGTCATAAATAATAAACATTCATATTAAATCCGTATAACATCGTATTTGTAAAAGTAGCCAGAGTTCGAAGTAAAAAAAGAAAAGGAACAATCCGTCCTACAAATGACACCCTCCATCCCAAAGACTACTACAACGTACTCGGAATCCCTTTAGTGTTGCATTTGTAATTATTTATATTTGCCATAAAAAACAATCATTAAGTAATATTACATAATAATTTCTTCTTCGGAAAGCGGACGGCCCGACTGGAGTATAGC